AGGAATGCTGCATGGAGGCTCGCTCGGAGGGACTCCAGGAGGTAGAGGCAAAGGTTGGGCGCGGCAAAGCGCAGCCATGCGTATGCCCCTTTATGATGATGATGATATATGCGTGTGTGTGTGTATGTGTGTATGTGTGTGTGTGTGTATGTGTGTGTGTTTGTGTGTGTGTGTGTGTGTGTGTTATGTGAATGTGCATGTGCGTGTGTGTGTGTATGTTTTGTGTGTGTGTGTGTGTGTATGTTTTGTTTGTGTGTGTGTGTGTGTGTTTTGTGTGTGTGTGTATGTTTTGTGTGTGTGTGTGTGTGTGTATGTGTGTGTGTATGTTTTGTGTGTGTGTGCGTGTGTGTATGTTTTGTTTGTGTGTGTGTGTGTGTGTGTGTGTATGTGTGTGTGTGTGTCTGTGTGTGTGTGTGCGTGTGTATGTTTTGTGTGTGTGTGTGGGTGTGCGTGTGTGTATGTTTTGTTTGTGTGTGTGTGTGTATATGTTTTGTGTGTGTGTGTCTCTATGTGTGTGTGTGTGTGTATGTTTTGTGTGTGTGTGTGTGTGTGCGTGTGTGTATGTGCGTGTGTGTGTGTTTTGTTTGTGTATGTGTGTGTGTGTGTGTGTGTATGTTTTGTGTGTGTGTGTGGGTGTGTTTTGTGTGTGTGTGTGTGTGTGTGTATGTATGTGTATGTATATGTGTGTATGTGTGTTTTGTGTGTGTGTGTGTGTGTTTTGTGTGTGTGTGTGTGTGTATGTTTTGTGTGTGTGTGTGTGTGTATGTGTGTGTGCATGAACGCGCACTAACTTGAGTGCAAGTGTCCCGTCACTGTCACATGACATGACTGTGTGATCACAGAATACAATAATTACTTCAATTTAATAATGATGCGCATAAAATTTACCAATATTGATTTCTGGACCTCACATGGATAATTCGCCACCTTATTTATATGGATAATGTTGATTAAAATAAATGAAAAGAATTTACCTCTGTATCCCATCCTTACCAGACCACGATAGTAATAGAAGATATATTATTTGTAATGATAAGTCTTTTAATCAGCTATAAACTAACCTTCTAGTTTTTTTCTATTGCTAAATGGTTCACAAAATTCTAGAAATAAGCTCGAAGTAAACGTAAATGCTCCCGTAACCCTCCAGCGAGGCTCCTCCTCCTCCCTCAGATTGTAAACAACGCCTGAGACACCAAACTCTGCGACGACTTGTCTCACTTGATTCATATTTTACGCCATTTCTGAAACATTTAGGATCACCACGATGAAGAAGAAGGTTTGTGGAGGAGTTGTATTTTGATGCTAAGGGGATTTTGAGAGACAAACCGAACTCAGAGCAACGGAATGAGTCCCGACAAATGCATCTCCAAACTTACCAAAAGGGTCTAGATTCGAGATTATTTTCCTAAGTTTCCTATTTCGTTTATTTGTGCTAATTTATGAGAGATATGCCTCATTATCGCCTGGAAGATCAGAGTTACTTTGAAAATAAGCATCTTTCTCGTAAAAAAATATTTTCATTAATTGATAAATATCCAAATGAAACTTGTTAGAATACGTGATGGGTGCCTTCAGTCTGAGATGGAAAGGGATAGGTTCGGTTTCACAGCCATATGGTATTAGGTAAATTTTTGTTTGTAATGGATAGAATGATAGAAAATAAGATATTTACGTTTATGGTATAGCCTTCACTAGTTGACATAACATTTACAGGGTAATCTGATGACACAATTTTTAAGGAAGAGAAAAACTACACTTGCTGATACATGAAATAGGGGAAGAATTACATCAGAAATAAAGAAAATAGGTCATGACAAATCCTGTGCAGATAAACAATACTTTCATCTGTATTGATGGAAAACATGAAGAGAGTCACACATATTACTGAGTGAGCAATTGAATCAGGGTATAATAATTGCAGGGTGGGATGGCTGTGTGAAACTAGAAAATTATCGATACGAATTGCTAAGAAAGCCGTTGTTTGCTCCTGGTCTGTGTATTGATCTTCTTGGAATATACATTGTTTGCTCTATGATTCTTTTTATTGTAGAAGCTATTTCATCTTTGATTATCTATTTTAGTAATGAAAAAGTTATTCAAGAGAAACTGAGAGATTTCAACAAGTAAGACAATGTTAATTTACAGATTTGGTTAGTCAAACCAAATGACAGTAAGGACAGAAATTAGTGCAAGATTCTGTTCTGAAGCAAAGAATGAAGATTGTGTTACATGTTACTTGATAGTATTTGAGTGATATTGATTCAAAATTTTATTTCATTCAGATGATTATTTTTAGATTTTGGCTTGATATTATTGCTATTTATGTCCAAACAGTAGAATATGTTGTAATCATTTACTATCTTTATCTGTCTGGGCAAGCTTATCAGCTTGTTTGTTGTTGTTTTTATGCAAAGATTGAAAACACAACTATGTAATGTTAAATTTATGGCAGAAAATGGTGGCTAAGGCTTATATTGTACATATTCCTGTGTGATAGAACTTTGACTGGTTACTTATTTGATGATAAATTGGCAGGGAGGTTTATAATGTACTTAGTTGAGGGTTGTTAGTAGAGGCCATAGGGATTGTTTGAATCATTACAGTTGACTTTGATCAAAATAGATTAGTATTATTTTGTGTTTATTATAGCCATTATCTCTGTATGGTCCTTGTTTCAAGGATTACCCTTGAAAAGAAAAATCAACAAAGAATACATAAATGATAGTATATGTTCACTGACATTGCAAAGCAAGTAAATGCTGTGGCTTGTTGTCTTTTGGCTCTACAGAAAAGGCACAACCACTGTCTATCACAGATACTGGGTGAAATATTACATCATTAGGTAGTGTATTGATTGCTAAGGTAAATTTTTGCAAACATTACTGTGAGCTGATCAATTGCCCAAGTGTGGAGAAGTGCACACTGATGTATACCCAATCTGGCTTGTATTTATCAAAACCTTTGCACTTTGTTATAGGGCTGATGTATAAATAGCAAGAATGTAATATCCACTATCAGCTTGAGGGATCAGGGTTCTTATGTAGCCAAAAATAGATCTAAGAAGGTCCTTGCTTTTTCTGACCAAAGGGTTGGTATGATCCAAAATAATAGACTATCTCCATATTTTATACTCTGCTATGTCTTTAAGACTTTTTTTCCCCTGAAATAACCAGAGGTTTGATTCTTTTCAGTGAATTTGTGTTTTTTTTAGTTATTGAATGTTATGTTTCAGGTACTGCTGATGGGCAAGAGTGGGTCTGGAAAGACCAGTATGCGCTCAATCATTTTTGCAAATTATATTGCAAGAGACACAAGTCGTTTAGGAGCTACAAGTAAGTATGCATTCACTTTAAGCTTTCATTTGATGTAGAGGAAATTTCAGGATCTCTGCAGAATGTTTAGGTCATCCCATTTTTTCTTCAATCTTTTTTTCTTTGTCATCAGTATTATCATCTTTATTATCATTTTGTTATTGCATGAGTCTGTAATTTTTATTTTTATAAGAAATATAAAGATTTAAATTTCTGCTGTAATATGACCATTCCTAACCTGCCCTTTTTACCATACAGTTGATGTGGAACACTCACATGTACGTTTCTTGGGAAATTTGGTCCTGAACCTCTGGGACTGTGGAGGGTAAGTTTTGCCTTTGCTTAAACTAGTATCCTAGAAAAATTGCCAAGTTATTGTTTTTAAAGACTGTGGATGCACTTTTATTAATGTTAATGAAAAAATTAATTTAAGGGATTGCTTTCTTTAAGCTCACTTTGTTTCAGTTTATTAAGTAATGTGTTATTTTTACATTACAGTTTAACAGTACAGGCTATGAATTAGCACTTTTTGTATTATGTAAGGATTGGAATAAGATATCTGAAGTGCCTTTTCCTCTTTTCCAGACAAGAAGCATTCATGGAAAACTATTTTGCTTCACAAAGAGATAACATCTTCAGAAATGTGGAAGTTCTCATATATGTCTTTGATGTGGAAAGCCGTGAGTTAGGTAAGCTGTTGAATGAAACTTTATACACTTTGATGGAATACAGTAAGTCCCCAACTTAAGAACATAATGGGGACTGAGAGGCTGTTTGTAAGTTGATTTGTTTGTATGTCGGAAGTCAGGTCTCCATTACCTTTTTTCCCATTGTTTTAAAGTTTTGTTTACATTAAGAATACCTGTAAATAAATCCCAATAAGTACGACGTACCTTATACAGTACCAGACTCTTGAACTATATTCGTGCCCGGAAAATTTGAAGTTTGCTAGCATCTTTCAAACAATTTTTTGGACTTTAGTACTTAAAAAATTTTGTTTGTATGCATAGAATGTTCATAAGTAGAATGTTCTTAAGTAGGGGACTATCTGTACTTTTGATTTATATTTCAGGCATTTTGTATTATGCAACTGTATTAAGTTTATATATATATATATATATATATATATATATATATATATATATATATATATATATATATATATATATATATATATATATATATATATATATATATATGTATATATATGTATATATATGTATATATATTATATATATGTATATATATGTATATATATGTATATATATGTATATATATGTATATATATGTATATATATATATATATATATATATATATATATATATATATATATATATATATGTATATATATATATATATATATATATATATATATATATATATATATATATATATATATATATATATATATATATGTATATATATATATATATATATATATAATATATATATATATATATATATATATATATATATGTATATATATATATATATATACATATATATATATATATATATATATATATATATATATATATATATATATATACATACATACATACATATACATACATACATACATACATACATACATACATACATACATACATACATACATACATACATACATACATACATACATATATATATATATATATATATATATAATATATATATATTATATATAT